GGACGAATGAAGAGCAGGAGAAGGAGGAGGAGGAGGTGGAGGAAGAGGAGGAAGACGAGGAGGAGCAGGAGAAGGAGGAGGAGGAGGAGGAGGAGGAGGGGTAGGAGGGGGAAGGAGAAGGGGGGAATCTAGAGAGAGGGAGAGAGAGAGACATATAGACAGACAGACAGACAGACAGACAGACAGACAGACAGACAGACAGACAGACAGACAGACAGACAGACAGACAGACAGACAGACAGACAGACAGACAGACAGACAGACAGAGACAGACAGACAGACAGACAGACAGACAGGAACAATAACGAGGGAGAGATAGGGAGATACTGATATATGTATTTATATATATATATATATGAGTGGGGGAGGCGAGAGAGAGAGAGAGAGAGAAAGAAAGCGAGAGAGAGAGAGAGAGAGAGAGATAGGAAACGGAAACGTAGTAAAAGTGATGGCGAGGGGGAAGACCAACAGGATGAGGGAGAGTGGAGAATGGGGAGGGGGAGAAATAGAGAGAGCGAGAGAGAGAGAGAGAGAGCGAGCGAGAGGAAACGGAAACGTAGTAACAATGATAAGGCGGAGGAAAACCAAAAGGAGGATGGAGAGGGGAGAATGAGGAAGTAAACGGAAGAGTTGAATAGTCGGAAGAGGAGGAAGAGGACGACGACGGGGAGGAGGAGGCGCACGAGAAGCGGGAATACACGCACGGGTGAACGGAGGGGGGAAACGAGCGGTTTGCGATAATAGTACTACCTGATGTTTGATGGTTGCCAGTGATAGCTCTCATGTGTGCTGTTTGGCTAGTGTGCGCCGTTCTTTGCCTTGCCTCTTGATTGTTTTTTGCTATTTGCAACTGCGCCGATCTATGACTCCTCCTTCTCCTCTTCCTCCTCCTCCCCCTCCTCCTCCTGGGCCGTTGGGCTTAGGTTTCGGACATCGACCGACCGAACCTCATGCACACATGTACACCAGCGTTTCGCGCCCCCCCCCCCCCCCACACACACTAGTAGGCCTGCGAGTCAAAAGGGACCTGGGGGACCTGCATGGATCTCGTCGCATCGCGTCACTATGCGAGTTTGCTTTTACAACCTAACGGAGGCCAGTAGCCTGGAATGCTTAGAGGGCATCAGTTGTGAATTACGCAGCTGGGGCGCCATCCTCCTGAGTGGTACGTGCAGGTGGGCGGGATCGGAACCATCACAGCGCAACAGGTTCTCCTACCACGAGGTTATACAGCATGGGGCAACAAAAAAAGGCACATGGACCAACAAAAGTTGTGGACGAGCCATGTGCATCAACCACGCCTTGGGGCCCACAGTAGTTCGCGCTATCTACCACCCACAAGCGTATATACAGGACACGAGGACATCGCGAACATGCACCAGTAGTGCTTACTATCCCCCCTCACCACTCTCGCCCCTCTACGCCCCCAGCGGCCCGCCTACAACAGGGACTGCGCAGGGGCGGGCTGATGGAGTGCGTCGGGCGAGGACGCAAGCGGGAGGCCCTGCTCGCGGCGATCGACGCCGAGATCGCGGCGGCGGGTGGGAGGCTCCAGAGTGAGCTCTGTGAGAGAGCACGACTGACCACGCGTGGGGCCTGTTCGGAGTCGCCGTGCGTCGTGCGATTCGTTCAGCAAGCAGCACCACTGCGACGCCGACGATATCGCGCGAGCAGCGCGCACATGTCGACGCGACTTGCTACGCCGACGACGTATGGCAAGGGAAGGACTCAGCGACGAGTGCGACGACCACGAGCGCGGTACTATTCAGGAGGAACTTAAATAGATCACTGCCGCCTTCAAAACGGCGCGAGAGATAACAGGGAGAATTCGGCGCGCGAAGATAGTCGAGCTCATCTGGTTGGCCTGCGAACGTAGGAACTTCGCGGGGATG